AGTTCAAGTGGATTGCCTATCCTAGTTGATTCTCAGGACTGGTTGTTCACTACGATCACCTGGGAAGCATAATGAAAAAACAAAAAACAAACAAACAGAACACTACTACTTGGGTCTTGGCCCAGATTTATGAAAACAAAATCTCTAGGAGATGGGATTTAGGGAGTGTTCCCAGGGTGATTCTAAAATGTAGCTACATTTGGGATCTGCAGGACTAGACATCTAATTCCAGATTAACTATTCCATTCAACCCATTGCCACCTCCCGATGACCCTAGATCGGGTTTACACAGCTATAGGACAGCCTTCTCCTTCTCCCACAGAGTGACTGTTGAGTTCAAACAGCGTCAAGGGTAAAAATTAACCAAAAACAACAAAAAAAGACGTTTCAAGTACCCCCCTGGCCCCTCCCTTTGAGAACTACTGTCGTGCATATATTTCATTCAGTATCTGTCTCAACCTGGAATTGATGAATTACCTGCTTTGGTCTGCATGTAGTTAATTTAATCAAATATTAGGTTTGTTTGAGAGTATATGTCAAAGTAATCTCTTCTTCTGGAAAGTTTATCCAGGGACCCCTCACTGTGCTCTCGGGTCATTGGCATGGCTGAGCTCTTAGAGTCTGCTCATCTGGTCTCATGATTAACTATCTTCTTTTAATAGCCTCCCCTGGTGGGGGTGGTGGGGTGGTGGGGGTGGGGGTTATTGAGAGCCTAATAGGTGCTGGTCACTCAAATTAGCCCATGGCAGAAGTTTATTTCTCACAATAACATTTAAGAAGGGAGCATTGGATGTTTCAGAGGTTAAAAAAAAAAGAAGGAAGATTGCTAAAGTTGAGGCATTTGTCCAGAAGCACAAAACTATTAAGCGGTGAAGCCACTATTTGAATTCAAGCCTATCTTCAAAGTACACGATTTCTGGCTGGTACCTTCTTGAATTTAAAAAGAGTATCCTTCCCCTCTCTTTCTTTTTGAAAATTTCACTTTATTTAATTTTTATCAGAACATACACAGCAAGATATATTTCAAGTCAGTAAACTCTACTTGCATAGTTTAATTACATCGATTCCTTTCTTCAAGTTGTGCAGTGGTTCTCTTTTCCAAACTATTCCACCCCCATTCAGATAAACTTGTTGCCCCATCAGCTTCTCATCTTTCAAGTAGCTGTTACGAATTCCATTTCCCTTTGAAGGACCGCATATAAAACCTGTCCCTGGTTCTCACCTTACTCTTACCTGCACCGTAGCATCCTTTGACTTTCTAGTTGTAGCAAAACAAATAAAGTAGATGGTCTTTAAAAGAAGATTCTGATATGGGACTTTAGATCAATAGTCTTACTATTGGTGAATTGTTCTAGCTGAATGATGTCTCTGCACTTGGTGCATTTTTAATTTTGCCCTATGTAAGGGAGATTTTTTTAAATAACTATAGTTGTTGGTGTGGTAAAGGTCCTTATATAAATTTAAAATAGGCCATTTTGTTTTTATTAACTTCATTTGAAAGTGAATATCAAAATTCAATGATCTTTCTGTGAACTAAAGTTAAACCATGTTAATATTTCTTTTCATGCATTTGTTACACAGTAGTCATTGAATGAGTTCTCCCTTGTTGAGTGCATTCATTCCTTCTTGTTGGGTGATTTGGGTTTCTCACTCATTGCCATCCAGTCCATACCCACTCACAGCGATACTGTAGGACAGGGTAGAATTCCCCTGTGGGCTGCCAAGACCATAACTCTTTCTGTCTGAGAGTAGAAAGGCTCATGATTTTCCTGCATTGGGTTTCTAAGGTACCTAAGAGTCTGTTATTAAGTCTTCATTCTACCATCTCTTCTTTATAAATAGTCCTGTGAAAAATTCAGGCCTTGGTGATTCCCAGACTGCATCACAGAAATGATAAGCATGCCCCAGGATTCAGGGGGTCGACTCTAGGTGGCCCCAATTTCCTTTAGAGTATACAGAGCGTGGGTTCCTATGTGGTCCAGCCCAGAGCCTGTAAAAGCTGCCTTTGGCCAAGGTGGCGTGTATGAAAAGCAAGCCGTTTTCTACTTTCTGATGTGACGGAGCCAAATCGCAGTCTGCTTCCCATCTGTAGCTGGTTATATAGCATTGCTTTGTCTGTTTTCATTCTGAGAGTTTGTGTGCGTTTCTAGATGTTTACTCGGCTTTCCCCATTAGCAGTTAAGCTCTTCAAAGGACGGCTTATTTTTTGCCGTTTTAATTTCTCACAGTGTCTAGGGTACGGCCCTGTTCTCCCTGAGAACTTGGTTAACGGGCCTGAATGGTGACCTAACGAGCACTATAATTGTTTGTAAAAATCTTAGAGAATTTGTCTTTCTTCTCAGGTGCTGTACAGGCGAGGTTGGCTCATTCGATAACCCTATTCCTCTTTGTGAAAACAACTATTGTTTGCCTGGCTGCGTTATGGTTTAGTGGAGGCACACAGATCCTATAGAGCAGCGGTTCTCAACCTTCCTCATGCCGCGAACCTTTCATACAGTGCCTCATGTGGTGGTGACTCCCCAACCATAACATTATTTTTATTGCTACTTCATAACTGTAATTTTGCTACTGCTATGAATCAGGTGACCCCTGTGAAAGGGTCGCTCGACCCCCGAAGGGGTCGTGACCCACAGGTTGAGAACTGCTACTATAAAGCAAATCTTTTCGTTGTCTTTTCCAGAATCTTGGCAGACCCAAAACTTTGTAAATCAATGAGAATTACATTTTGTCAAAAGAGAAAAAAACACCCTGTCTCTGAAATGCTCATGTTCAGTTACTAGGCAACAAAAACGAGCATATTAGTTTAATTAAATACATACTTTTAATCGGCGTCTATGGATTGTGGAGCAGGAACTAAATGAGGGCTTGGGTTCGAGGAAGGGTAGCAGATGAAATAAACGAGCAGAGCTTATCAAAGAAATGACACCAGTAAATTCAGAAAGGAAAACAAACACCCAGGCAAGCCCCCGGTTTCTTCCTCACTCACCATTCACTCTTTGTGTAGAATAAAAGTGGGCGAAGGAGTGACCCTTCACTTTGAACATTTGGAACAGAAGTGACCATCTGCCCAATGGCCTGTCTCCCTCCCATCCGACTGATCTCGGTCCCACTTCCTCGCTTTTGTAGTCACCCTTTCCTCCAGCCCCTTCCCTTCTGAGAAAGCCTAGGTGTCTCTTAAACTCCTCTGTAGTTCTTTCTCCAGCCACCATCCCTGTAACTGCTTCCATATGTGTGCAGATTCTGAATAAAATAGTTCCCCTTTGTCTTGCTGTTTACTCCAAGTTTTGTGCCTTTGAAAATATCCCTCGTAGTTAGTAAACTCTTCATGTGGAGAGCAGTATCTGATTACACTTGGAAATGGTGTTAACTTGACTGTATGCAATTTTAAGGACGTTGTTTATATTTTAAAGTGATTTCTCCCATCTCTCTCTCCCCTTCCTTCCATGTCTTGTTTGAAAGGTTTACTAAAGCTTATCCTTCTTGGGAGGTAGAGTGGCATTAAAACAAAAAGGGCCTTTGATATTTACCAAGTACTGCCCTTTGCTCCGCAGTCTTACAGCTCCATGAAAAAATGTAGTTTATATTAGGCTTCGATTCAATCATTTCTTTTATTAGAATAAACTTTGCTTTTAAAAAATGTGTGGTGGAATTAGATCATATTCAATATGATTGTGCTTGATGGCTAGATTTAATCAATTATAAAAGCTTGGATACATTATTGAAGTTGTTTGAACAAGTGCTGTAAATTGCCCTTACTCCTCAGACTCTGATGGACTCATTCCACATTATTGGCTCCGTTGTAGGATGTTGATGTCAATGCTAAAAGGCCAAACTCTTGTCTTTATTATCTTTTCAAAATACATTATTTTTCCCCATTGTTTACTTGGGGTATTTTCCCAAAAAATGTCCCAAGAGAGCGCTCGTGAATACCGTTGGATCTAGCCTGACCCTTGTGCTGTGCATCAAGGTCTTTTCTCTTGACACATTTAGTTTTCACTTTGTCACTCGTCCTTCTACTAATAGTTATTCTTTAACTTGACTATTGATCTCCAACGGTGAAATGCGTCTAGTGCTTTGTAAGAAGCTCTCCCAAGTGACTTCCATAAGGAATTCTTTTACTTGTCACCCAAGTAATTCTTCAGACACCACTAAACCATCCAAGTGAACACACAGTACAGCTAGACTGCGTACACAGCTGTGGCTTATCTCGCGTTTGTACCTTAACTTTCCTTTAACCTGTTGATGCATGGGATGACTTATCCAATGTCTCCTTCCCCCAGATGTTTGCTAGCCCCAGTGCCATCCCTTCCCTTCAGTATAAATTCTTGAATGCATTTCCATTGTCTTCGGTATAAATGTTAATGGTTACATAGCACACAAAGCCTTTTATACCCTGCTTCCTGGGCACCAAATCCTATCTCCTGCCACTCCCTAAACAGCATCTCAAAATACTTATCGTTCTTGAGATTAGCCATGATCTCTCATTTCTATGGGGGTTTGACATGCTCTAGCCCTCATCCTTAGAATGCTCTGCCTCTAATTTCACTTAATAATGTGCCTTTCTTAGCCAACAGTCTTCTTCCAGGAGGCCTCCCTGGCTGGGTCATAAAGAGCTCCTCTCTTGTGCGTCTGCAGCCTTGCCCCCTAAGTCCTTAGGGAGTTGACTTTCTAACATTTAGCCTCCTCAGGCAGAGATTCACTCCCATCTCTACTTCTCCCTCCCCTAGCAACGTGGCTCACCTAAAGTCCATTCGTCACATGCTGGCGGTTATTAATTCACACCCATTTGTTCGGTTGATTCACTGCTGTCTTTTGAACTCGGAAATGATCACACAAACACTTCTGGCCTAATCTCTTGGAGACATTTTCGGGTTATCTAAATGAAAAGTAAATAAACAAAGTTGTACCCTTATGAAAGGAGAAATGGATGCTTTAACCTGGGTAGTATAGAACATTTGACGGGCTTGCTTTCAAATACAGACAAGAAGGGGAAAAAGTTCCTGAAAGAATAAAAAAGCTGAGTACTATGCTTCCCCCAATGTTTGTAACCCAAAGGAAAACACAGTTCCGACTGGAAGTGTTACAAGTTGTCCCCGAAACAACTTTCTCATGAGTGTTGGAAAGGAAAAGTGGACAACACACTTGCTAATCATCTTTGCTGCCCTTCTATATCTGAAAAATGTCAGAGCACGTTTTACCTGAAACTTTAAGAAACCCTGCTGCTCAGAGTTTTGAAGGAAGTTTCATTGATTTATCAAAGATAGGCACATCAATATAGCTGATAAACAAAAGATGACTTTAAAGATATAAAGTCTAGTGAATTAGGAAAAATGACTACAAGTTCTAAACCTTATTTCATATTTTATAAAGTGTTTCCCTAAGTATGAATGTGTTGCCTCAGGTGGACAGAGCCTGGAGGGCCCCGTGGAGAAGCGTTTGCTGCTGCTGCTGCGTGCTGTGGAGTCGGTGCGGGACCACAGGGGCTCTGTGCTCACCGGAACCCAACACTCCCTGGTCGGGCACCATCCTCGCCCGGCTGTGCTGGAGCCCATTGCTGCAGCCACTGTGGCGATCATCTTGTTGAGGGCCTTCATCTCTTTGACCGACTTTCTACTTTATTGCCCATGATGTCCTTCTCCAGGGACTGGGCTCTCCTGAGAACATATCCGAAGTACATGAGATGAAATTTGTTCTTTCGGCCACCTGCAATACGTCCAATACTCTTCACCAGCACCGGAACTCAAGTGCATTCCACTTTAGTCCTCAAAGAAACATGCTTGACCATCAGCACTTTAAAAGAGGTCTTACGCAGCAGATTTGCCCAATGTGACATGTCATTTGATTTCGAAATCCTTGACAACTCCACTCTTTCTCTATTTATCATCATGATGGCTAATGGTTTACTTGTGGGGGGTTGTTTTCTGCTCTTTTGAAAGTATTATCCGCAAACAATGCAAAATATAAGCCCCAAACCCAAACCTTAAGTTTTTCTTTTTCTCCTGAAAGTCTTAGAGGACTTAATAGAAAAATGTTATGTAGAAATACTGTGTCAGGCTGTGTTATGGGTTTATCTTCAAGTCAAAGACCCCTTCTCTGTGAACAGGTTACAGCGCTTGTCCCTAATAATTTAGTTAACTTAAACCTTACGGTCTTCATTACACGAATTCTTCATTTTTGAACATGCGATTTAGAAGTGGAGGAATTTTCACAGTCCCTTTTGGAAATGTTGGATAATCTCTTCAAGAAAAATTCATTTTTCTCATGTTTAATCGTTTTATTGGTATTTGCTTCATACACTGTATAATCTATTGGCTCGGCCATGTCAAGGAGGGTTGTGCAATTTCACATCAATTCCATAGACTCCTCCTCTTGCACTCATTACTGTCAGCTCCCCTTTCCCCCGAGAAAGCCTTAACTCTGCGCAGCTTAATTGGATTTCAACCCAGAGGCAGCAGCGTCTTTTCCTTCTGTGTGAGACCTGCAGGGTTGCGGACTAGTTACTGACCACGAAGCGCTCTTACTGTTTGCCTGGAGTGCAGCGCAGATAGCCAGTGACAAGCCCAGGAGCAAGAACACTAACACAGGGGGCTTCAAATAGTTCGTGGAAATAAGGAATGAAAAGATAATGAAATTTTTCCATGAAATTTTTGGAGCCCCCCCGCCCCCCGCCATAATCTGTATCTATCACTGGAAAATTCTGTCAGATTGTCATGAAAAACAAGACTCAGAACAAGAGCTTTCATCAGTGTGGTTGTTCTTTCTCACAGATGATTTTTACAACCGGGCTCATCGGGCTTTAAAAATCACAGCCATTTACCCTCCCTTGCTAATTAGTTTATGGCAAGGTATCGCCATGGAAATGGCAAACTAGCTCACTAAGTAATTGCATGGGATTTGGCAGTTCCTCATTGCATTTGGATTGTTAGCTCCTCAAGACAGAGGAGCTGCACAAATAAGCTTGGAGTGAGGGTGCACACTGGCACCGTTCCTGTTGTGGAGGGCTCTGCCGGAGGCCCCTGCCTCACAGTGGGAGTAACTCACGTCCTTTGGAAAATGCTGTGATAATTACAGCTTTGTCGGGCAGTGAGCTCACTCTATTACACAAGATTAGCGCTGCACTCCAGAGCTGGCCGGATCGTCTCTCTCGCACACAGGTCTGCCAGCTAGGAAAACCATGGGCATATTGCCACTGTACCAACTGTCAGGAGACCCCAAGTTAGTTTTCTTCCCTCCAGCACATCCACGTTTGTAGGACTGGACGCCAGGCCGCCAACAGAGGAGAGGGACACTAAGACAAGCATCTCTTTCTCCTTTAAACAGAGCTGCTCTTTTGCTTTTAGCTGTGGGCCCAAGAATTATTAGCCTGTTGAGCTAAAAGACAAGGCAGAATCCTAACCTCCCTTAGAACGTAAATAAATCAGAACTCAGACCAGAGAGACTTCAAGCAAGTGCCAGGGTCGGAAGAGGGTCGGTGTCTACCTTGCAGGGGGATGAGTTGCCGTGTACAAGTTAAAAAAGTTAGATGTAGTCTGCATAGACCACAAACAAATTCCTATTTCGTGCCACAGCCTTGTTGGGGGTGGGGTGGAGGAGTCTTTTAAAGTTACCAACTGTTTTGATTTCTGTGATAAGTAGCCCCCTTTCAGGTAAGCATTTGGCACAGACTAGCTCTTCTGATGTCTCTATTTAGTTGAGAGGGTGGCTTCTTATCAGCATGTGTTTCCATTGGCTTTGCCACCCGCTGGGCGATGTGTGCTCTACTGGGAGTTTGTTGTTCTGGGGGTGGGGGGTGGGGTGTTATCTGCTCACCCTGGGCATGGCCTGCCCTTGGGGTTTGATTTCTGACAAAATTGGTCCTCAGTGATAAAGAGAGCTTGCACAACGGAAAGGGCACTTTCAGTTCCGGTGTCACCATTTTGTGTGGCTAATCTAGATAAGCTTTTACTCCAAAAAGAAAACAAATGACCTCCCCGGTGGGTGACACCCTACAGGCCTATCTTTTAGGAGCATGCCTGTTGGTTTTTGCTTCGTTCCGTTCTTTGAGAACTTCAGGTGGGTGGGAGAGAGTCCTCTCTGCCGCTGATACAACGTCACCGTTAATGTAAATCACGTTCTGATCATTTTCATTGACAAAATGGAAAAAAGGAAATGCTTGTAGATGAATATTTTAGTCAGATAAATGCTGACTATATCTCAACGGCCTGCAACAGAATAGGGTGCGAGGAACTTGGGAAATACGGATAAACAGAGGCTCTTAGTGTAGTACGGAGTTCTTAGCACGCGAGGACTCATCATAAACAATCATTCAGTCTCAGCGCCACCCCACACCCCCGCGCCCACAGAGTGGACGGTCGTATTTCCAGGACTATTTTTTGCCATTAGTGATTTAATTGATAATAAACGTAATGATAGATGGCTAGCCCCACCTAGTGGTCATATTATGTTTTGCGTTTCTCAACTTGGGAAATGCCGCCTAGACTTATGCAGGAGTAACTGTGTGACTTAAGTACCTGTAGCTTTGAGTTGAAAATATTCACATGAACTGCTGGATTTTGTGAAGCCTGAAAGTTACATGTGAAGTGAGTTGATTTTCAAGTGCTGTAAGCAGCCAATAATATATATTTGTCATGTATTCTAATAAAACCCTAGCAACTAAGGGCGCTCTGGGGACCAGTCTTTCTGTGTTTTCACCGTATGCGCAATGAAGGAGATATCGGAAAAAACAATTCTGAAAAAAACCCAAAACGTTCTTGGTGACTCTGTAGGACTTTGAAGTGTTCTTGTGAGTGTGAGTAGTTGTGAGGGGGAATGGCTAGAGAGCAACAACTGAACTATTCAATGAAGAAAAACCAAGTTGTAACTTGAAGCTTTGTAAATTCTCCTATCAAGCATAATAATGTACTGTGTCATAAAAGGGCTTTACTCGGCAAGAATGCCTTTATCAGTGGAAAGCATGTGATTATTTAACCGTACTTGGCAAAATCTGTAATGATTTGATAACAGAGAGCATGCTTGGTCAATCAAGACAATCGAAACTACGGTGAATCTTAAAGAATGAAAAGTGACTTCGATCTGAGTTGAAAAATTAAGAGCTCCATATGCGTGTGTGGATGGGTGAGTAGATGGATGATAGACAGCTAGTTTACCTAGTCCCAATTTGCCCTTCCAGCAGCACATGAGATACTCTAAAGACCTACAGTAAGAAATATCTTCTACTTTTTCCTCAGTCACAAATTTGAACTGTTTCCAAGTGGCTAGCTATTGTCTAGAACTGATTGGTTAGCTATCATGTCTAAATGAAGGAGTTCAGTTTACCCATCTCAAGGGGTTTATTGTGGTTTCATGCTGGCTCTTTACTGTATTTATGATGTGCATTTCTCTGTTTTTCAGTTAAATACACATAGGGGCATGGCCAAAGGTCTTGGCTATATCCTTCCCAAGATCCAAGGAGCTTTCATAGATGTAGAAGGGTGTGTGTGTGTGTGTGTGTGATCAAATTTATGACACACAAAAAGTCAACTGTATCCAGTACCTCTGAAAACTTTGTTTTCTGTTCTTTCCTATCTTCACTACTTAGGATCCAGTAGAAAGGAAAAGAATCCGAGAAATTCTAAGCAGAGTGGCCTACTCTTGAGGAGAACCTATGCCCATTGATTGATTTTGAAGCTACTCGATGAGATTAAGGACTAATCCATCTCAGTGGCTACAGTGTAATGGAGAATGGCTAGTTATTGGCTCAGGAGCCAATCGATAGGAGCTGCTGTTCTGACAACTTGTTAGTCTTAGATGATAAAGAGGATTTAAGCCAAGACTCTTTTGAAGGGGCTGAAAATTCTCTGGAGTAGAGGTTGTGTCTTCAGCACTTTGATTTTCTTATTGACACTATCTTCTTTAAAGCCCCTTAAAAATCAGTGTGAAAAAACAATTCCCACCTGGGAATGTTTCATGGAAGGATATGCATGAATAGGGCATTCTTTGGTTCCCTTAACCTCGTCGATTGCTTCCACTCTCTGTAAAGATCCATTTCCTAGTATATAAAGTAGCGGACCAGCTAGAACATGGACAGTTGTAACAGCAACTAACACTGGACGGTTTTATTCCCTTTCTTTAACTGAACGCAGTTTTCAAACCTGAAAACATTCAAAGCAACTTCCACTATGAAAGCAATGAAAAAATTCCTTGCAAAATAATTATTGCTTTTTTATATAGAATCCTGTTTTAATATTAGAATAGAGGCAATGATCCATCATGGTATGAGAGGACAAATCAATTACATCTCACCAGCATTTTGTTTTGTTCCTGCTGTGATTGTAGCTATCTGCGGAGTGGGGTGGGCTGAAACACTCTTCATGGCCTTGTGGTGTTTTAAAGGTGAAAGGTAGGGCCTCTGAGACACTATCTAATCAGACATTCACCTTGAGAGGATGTAAGCCCTTCCTGAATTTAATAGCTCATAGATAACTGTC